TTTCCCCTCTGTTTCTCTCTTGGGTAGAAAATGTATATATATATTTTTAACCTTAGCTTTCCAGCCTCATTCTCCCTGGACTAATCCTCAGTTCAAATAGGTTATTTTTCATTTGTGGCATCTCTGGATCCTGAGGTAGTTTCAGTAGCTTACACTTTGCAGCTTTATAATGGTTAGTCATAAAAGTAAGAAAAAGGCAATGCCTCTTTGAACACTAAGCAAACTGGAGTGCAGTCATGATGTGAGCGGTTTGAGAGAAGCTGTGGTTAACTGTGGGACAGTCCTTAATAGTCTGATTAAAATGAATAAGAATCACCAATGTGAGCACTCTTCTGCCTTCTGTTCCTCTCATCTCCCACTTGATTTCCAGGCTTGTGAACGAAGAACGAACATTGGAGGTGGAGATAGAGCCAGGTGTGAGGGATGGCATGGAGTATCCCTTCATTGGAGAAGGTACAATAGTAGCTGCTGCTGTGCTTTTTTCTACTTGTGCTATTTCCCTGGCTACACTGGGATCATGTCTAGCAGTAAGGATCCTTGGGCATACTGTGGAGGATTGTTTCGAACAGGAGTCAACAACCCATTGACAGATCTGGCCTGCAGAGCTGTTTTGATCCAGCCCAGATCCAAGGGGCTTCTGCAGCATCTCAGCAGCAGGGGCTTCACACAAGCAGTAGATAGAAAGTAGCAGCTGCATTGCAGTGGCTCCAACTCTAACAGCAGCGGTGCAGGCTGGGTGAGAAGTAGTGCATGCTTACAGCTAGGTGCAGTTGGAGCAGCCCCCTGCTGGAAAACCTGCCAACCCCTGTTTTACAGCATATTGTTTTTAAGGGGTTGGTATGTCCTGTGCATGGTTTGGCAGTCCAAAGCAGGGGTGGTCAAAAATGGCCTGGAGGCTGGATCCTACCCACCGAGGGATTCTGTTCAGGTGTGTGACAGGACAGCAGCAGCGCAGTGGCCAGACTTACTTCCTGGCAACCCCCATGTCAGCGGCTTGCTCTGCCTGGCTGACAGTATCTACCACCGCCATCAAACCCAGTCCTGCTACCCAAGCATCCTGGCTTGTCTGCCTTGCACCCACCACTGGGGGCCGTGAATATAGAGCAGGTCAGTGGGCAGGTCTCCATGGAGACTGACCCGGGACTCCCACGGTCGGGGCACGCTTGGCCAGATGGATGGGATGAGGCTGTGGGTGGGCATGGGGCAGCATCCAGGAGTGGAATAGGCAGACAAGATCGGGATTGCGAGGCGGCAACAGTAGGGGACCCAGGCCCAGGGCAGAGCCACAATCCACTCCCTGTATATCCCTGCCCACAGAACTAGTGCCCATTGCATGGGGCGTGCAAGGAATGGATTGTAGCTCTGCCCTGGGCCCCAGCTCCATGCTGTCCCTGCCCCATAATCCTGGCCACGCCTGCCCATCCTGCTTCTGGACACTGCTTTCTCCACCACCACCCACTGCCCCAGACACCCAAGTGGCTTCCCCACCCAGCCTCACCCCCCAAATTGCACCCCCAGGTCCCAAGGTGACCCCCACAACCCCAGGCACCATCACTTTAAAAAAAAACCAGAAAAAGAACAGAAAAAAAATGGCTAAAAAAAAGCCTCTGTTTACCTTAGAAGCAGGGGTGGGGAGGGGTTCCAGGGCCTCCTAGCAGAGC